CTTCGTAGGGCTTTCGACTGGACCAAGACTTTGGGGCACGACCCTGAGATATACGATGGGGGGGCGTCCATCCTCGATACATTGGGTGCGCCCGAATAGCCCCGTTGGAGTGTATCCCAAAATTCCCCTCCTTTTTTCCTGAGCGGCTCCGCCTTCCGTCGAAAGGTCGGGGGCTGGGGGAGAAACGAACAGCCTGCGAAGAGACGAGGGGTGGAGGACGAGCGAGCCGGGGCGCTGCAGATGGAGGGAGGGGAGGAAGGGAGGAGGGAGGGAGGGAGGGGGGGGGGAGGGAGGAGGAGGGAAGTGGAGAGAGGGAGGAGGGAGGAGGAGGGAGGAGGAGGAAGAGGAGGAAGAGGACGAGCGAGCCGGGCCACGCTGTGCGCCGCACGGTCCCGCGGGGGCCCGGCAGGGACCAGACCTCCGTGCGCGGACCGCCGCGAGGGTGGGCAGTGCGCTCTGCACGCGAGGAGCCCGGCGGCGCGCCACGGGCCCGCACGGAGCCTGCGCACCCCCACCGTGCCTGGCCAGGGCCACCCTGGGCATTTGCTTCTTTGTTCATTGATTCCCTCTCTAATTTCCTCTTCTTCTTCTTATTGCTTTTCTTCTGCTTGTGTTTATTATTACTATTGTTCTTATGACTAGTATTATTATTATTAGTATTATTAAGATTATTATTTTTTATTCGCATTCTTATTATTACCATTATCATTATTATTATTACTATTATTATTATTACTATCAGTAGTATTATTATTAAAACTATTCTTATGATTAGTATTACTATTATTATTAAATGTGTCGTCTTCTTCGTGTCCCTTTCTGATTACTCGTCGTCACCTTCACGATCTGCTGATTAAAACCACTATATGTTTGTTATTTTCTTGTACTGTTCTTCTTCTTCTTCCGCCTACGCCGCAAACGCTTGGTAACAGAAGGGCCCCTGAAGCTCGACCCGAGGCCAAAAAGCGTCCCGTGCGCATGGCGAGCGCCGTTCGCGCGTGCCGGGGCCATCCTGGGGCCTGGCATTAGGTCGGGCATGTCCTCCTACAGGCGGATTTTTGGCGAGCAATGAAAACGAATCAAAACATACACCAACATAGTCAAAGATTTCAAGATATCGTCCCCAGATTCTTTGTACACTATTCTTGAATATTCCTCCCATAGAGGGACAGGCCCGACTGAACCCTGGCATGCCGGGATCAATCAGCATCAGATCGATGGATCGGCTCGGATCGAGCGTCCAATCGGGCCCTACAGGCACGGGGTCGGGATCGGATCGGATCGGATCGGGCTGCGCCGAGATGCACATCAACGCCTCGCACGCATCCCAGACATGCAACGCTGCGTCCCTAGAAGTCGATGCTGACGATGATGATGATGATGATGATGATGATGATGATGATGATGATGATGATGATGATGATGATGATGATGATGATGATGATGATGATACTGATGATGATGATGATGATGATGATGATGATGATGATGATACTGATACTTATGCTGATGCTGATGATGATGATGATGACGATGATGATTATGATGATGATGATCATCATCATCATCATCATCATCATCATCATCACCGCCATCATGACACTTTTCCCACGACCGACTTTTCATCTTGAGTCGTCTTTTGACGGTCCCGGTGCCCGACGAGGGTCCCCAAGGGCCAAAAATAGCGATAAGTCTACCGTCCAATTTTTGTGTACGATACGATCATGTCTGGGATCGGTCCGCATCACATCGTCGGAATGTCGGAATCGAACCGAAATCGATGGGATCGAAATTGACACTGCCAGGGCAATCCTCAAGGGCGCACAAACTTCGCGCTTCGCGCTGCGCGAAGCGCGAATAACTTCACGCTCTCGCGCCGCCTCCCAGGGGAGAAAAGGCGGATGAGGAATCGGAGCCGTTCCGCGAAGCGCGCCCTTTAACAACGCCTCGCAAACATCGGTCCGCATTGTATCGTCGGAATGTCGGAATCGAATCGAAAACGATCGGATCGAAATGGACACTGCCTGAGCTACCCTGTCGGCGGCGAGCCTGGGGGAGAAAGGAGAAGGGGCGGGCCTTCTCAGAGGACTTGGAAGTCCCCCCGGCCTTCTGAGAAGTCTCCTAAGCCTTCCCCGAAGACGTAACAAAACGTCCCAGAAGGCGCGAGGGCCTCTGAGAAGTCCCGCCGCCGTCTGAGAAGGCCCTCTCCTTCTGACTTCCCCCCCCTCGCTCGCCGCCGATTGGAGTCGAATCGGCGCCGACCGCATCGAACTGGACACTGCCAAGGCTTCAGTCGGGCCTGTCCCCCTACGGGGGGATTTTGGACGCAAAATGGAAAACAGTCAGAAACAATACCCTGAAATATCCCAAAATGGTGAAAACATCTTCCCAGGACTGATGTTTGCCTACGGCAGGTTCGTGTCGTGCCGACCCCAGCGTTGGTTTTTGACACCGCAGGGATCGTTCAACCTTGAATGATCTGCCGCTGCCGCAACGTCCGATCGTTCAACATCGATCGATTCTGGGTCGCCGGCGGCGTTCAACCTTGAACGTCCGCGCTGGGGTCGCCGCTGGTCGACACGACGCAAACCTACCGTATCTTTGAAGGTCCCCCCCGCAGAGGGACAGGCCCGACTTCATCCTGAGAGCACGGCGCGCGGAGCGATCCGCCAAGGGGCGACCGCGCGGCTCCCGGCTCGCGCAGGGGGAGGGCGCCCCCTGAGGCACGCAGAGGAACGGGCCCGCGGCCCGCGATCCCCCCCAATACTTTCATGATATTTTCTGGGTGTTCGTCTGCTCCCCCCCCCCACTGCCCATGTTCCCTCGTAATATTCTCTGCTTTCATGGCCCATATTCCCCCATGGCCCAGGACCCCCCCCCAATACTTTCATGATATTTTCTGGGTGTTCGTCTGCTCCCCCCCCCCCACTGCCCATGTTCTCTCGTAAGATCCTCCGGGGGAAACCGACGATTACCTGGGTCCGTGTGCCTTTTTCCTCCCGCCGGCGCAAGATCGTCCCGGTCTGGCCGATTCTGGGCCACTGGCGACGCTCCACCCGGAACGCCTGGCCCGTGATGGAACCTGTCGTGCACACCATCTTGTCGGGCGCGGCCTAACCGACGCCCAGCAAACCAAACCTTTCCGTGTCGTCATCCTCGCCGTTCAGGCTTCCCTCCGGCCGCATGCACGCGCCTTGGGGCGAAGCGACGGGGACGTCACAGAGGGGGATGCTTTGCCAGGGGTCGGACAGGCCGCCCCTGATCTTGGGGCCCAGGGTGGTCTTGGCCAGGCATGGTGGCAACGTGCAGACGCCTCCCGCGGAACTGGAGGCGGGGCGAGGGCTCCAAATCGGAGGAGGGCTCGCGGAGACGACCGCGGCTCTCCCGCAGGACGAAGCCAGGCCGAGAATAACACTGGGTGAGGACGAGTAGAAGATCTCTGAGATCCGGCGGCTCTGGAGGATGTCTCGGGCGCCGCGGCCGTCTCAAGCCGTTGAGAACGCCCTGGGAGACTTCTTGGAAGGAGCCTGCTTCTTATCTAGAGATGAGGCCCGCGCCTTCTGAGAAGCAGGGGTAATTACTTCTAAGAAGGCTTCCCCCCTCCCCCTACGAGTCGCCAGGATCTCAGGGATCCTCGTCCTAGCCCCGTCCGATCCCGCGCGGCCCAAATCCGTTCCCAGACATGCGACGTCCTGATTTTTCAATACGGCGTCCCCGGAAGTCCAGACCCGTTCCCCTGGGCCGGTTTTTCATCCTGAATCGTTTTTTTTGACGGTACCGGGGCCCGGCGAGGGCCCCACAGGGCCGCAAATATCGAACAACCTCCCGTCCTGATGCTTTTACGACGCGATCATGACTGGGCTCAAAGCCGTCCCTAGACCCTAGACCCCTCCCAGGGGCCCCTATCCTGACCCGCTTTCTGCCTGGCCGCCGCGGCAACGACGAGCTTCCCCGAGTAACGCCCCCTAACAATGCGAAAGGAGCACCGGAGAAGGCCGCCGCTGTCTCCACTGGCCCTCCTCCAACCGCTTTCGGGTGATAGCTCCCTTGAGATCCTGGCGACTCCAATTTTGCGAGCCAGGCGTTTTCGCTCACTTCGGGACCCTCACAGATCGATCCGGCTCGAACAGTGACGCAGAAAGATAGTGTTCAGGGGTCCGGTCGTGGTCTCTGGTGACGTTGCAACTTTTTGCGCAACGTCGGACCTCAAGCTCGGGCCCCAAATGGCCGTTCGGGGCGATTCCGGCATCGCCGGGACGCCCGTGACGAGGCGCAGCTACTGGGAGTCACCCCAGGACAACTCCGGCATCGCCGGAACGCCCGCGACGAGCCCAGACCCCCGACGTCATGAATTTTTCATGACTTCGACCCCCAGCGGTCTGGACCCATCCCCCGGGACCGGTTTTTCGTCCTGAGTCGTTTTTTGACGGTCCCGAGGGCCGGTAAGGGTCCCCAGAGGCCAAAAATAGGGAAAAATCTCCCGTCGTGATTTTTTCATGACTCGAGGGGGTCTGGGAGGCGCGGCGGATGGGAGCCGCCCGCGGTGCCGAAGGCCGCCGAGCACGCCCCGAGAGCCCTGCGAGGTCGGGGCGGCCCTCCCGGGCGGCCTTCCAGCGAGGGGGCCCCCTTCGCTCCCTCATGGAGGCCCAGGAGGGCCCAGGATCGGATCGACGAGTCGGATCGGCGATCGACATGAGTCGGAATCGGAAACCATCGAAATCGAGTCGAATCGAATCGGAGGGACCGAAACGAGCCCCGGAGGCCCTCCTGGCTGCTCTCCAGAGCGGCCTCCTCGCACGGGGCCCGAGCGCCCCTCCGAGCGCCGGCCCCTCGCCCCGTCCCCGTGCCGCCGCGTCGCCGGGCGGTGTCCGGCTGCGCTCGCGCAAAAAACAAATCTGGGAGAGGCGATGGGAAAGGGAGGAGGAGGAGGAGGAGGAGGAGGAGGAGGAGGAGGAGGAGGAGGAGGAGGAGGAGGAGGAGGAGGAGGTAGAATTGAGGAGGAGGTGGCGGAGGAGGGAGGATGAAGGAGGGAGGAGGAGGAGGGAGTCGCTGCCCCAGGGCCAAATCCGGGGGCTTACAGCGCGTCCAAACAAAAAAAAAAGTTCCTCGGGCGCGCGCTGCTCTCCGATGGGAAGAAGGCAGGCGTGCCCGTGAACAGACCGTGCGCGGCAGCAGCGCGCGCCGCACGAGACTCTCGTCAGTGGCAAGGCCAAGATTCAGCCAGGGCTCCTTACGACCATGCGGAACGGCTCGTGACCGAGACGGTAAGGCAGAGTGGGAGCAGCGAGAGCATGCTCAGGAGAACCAGAAAGAGAGCGAGAGCACCAGGCAATCCAGGGCATGAGGGGGGAAGTGTCCCGAGAGAACCCTGGGGCTTGTCCCAATTGGAGGCCTCTCAGACAGAGTCCGAATAGATGGGGTCGGAAAATTGCGCCGCATCGCTGATGCATCGGCGATGCACGGGCAATGCATCGGCGACGTCGGCGATGACTCGGCGCCGTCCGCGTGGAGAAGATCGGGCTCCACATCGAGCCGCATCGCCGATGCATCGGCGATGCGGTACCATCTTCCGACCCCACCTAACTGAGGGCAATTTTTCTGTTTCTTGGGTAGCGGTCGCTACCCCCGGGGGGAAGGATTCGGGCGGACGGGTAATGGTAACGGCGGCCGCGGCGTGTACCTGCCAGGGTGCGTCCGCGCCACCGGCGCATCCATCGCCGGTGTGCACCACAGCATGTAGGGGGGGGGGTCCAGGCCACACCCCCCTGTACAATCGCTGGGGCGAGTGGTGACTTGAGTACGGCAGGCTGTACAGTCAACCCGTGCAATAAGGACGCGCGATGAGGGTGCAAGGGCCTTGGAAAACCATGTCGACACGTGGCGGGCGGGGCGCGAGGTTGGCCAGCGAAAGTCGCTAATGATGGGTCGAAGGTGCAAGGATGCAAGGGTGGCCTTGGAAACTTGCTCATCCTTACTATGCGGGCTGACCGCACCGCCGCGCATGCCTCGCAAACCCAACAAAAATCGCGCGCTGGCGTCTCACTGCCTGTGAACACCACTCGCCATGGGGAAACGGGTCCTGAGGGAAACGGGTCCTGAGGTTTTTCGCCGCTTTCAGGTACGGGCCCTGGGATTGTCAGAAATCGACTCAGGATGAAGACCTCGTTCTGGGAGAACGACTCAAGGTCCAAGACCCGTTTCCCTCAGGACCTGGTTCCCCAATGCTAAGCCACGCCCTCCTCAGCAGACATGAGCGACGAGAGAAGCGGGCCTTGCGCACGATGACATAGCGACTTTACGCCGCGGCTTATGCGGGGCGCCAGCGTGGCACACCGTGTGGAGACAAGGGCGCTTCCGCGCAATCGACCCCGTTTTCTTCCTCCACTCACTCGGACTCCCGGGGCCTATCCTGATTCTGGCCAGTGTTTCGAGCTGCGTCGAAACCATGGAATCCGACGTCGTGGAATATGCGACACCGTGCGCGATGACGACCAGGGCTGGGTTCCAATTGTCTGCGGTATTTCTCGAGCTGGATTGATTTGTGAGGGTCCAGGGTCGGGTCCCGAATCTGGGCGAAACGCGGAACGCCACTTGAGGAACGAAGAAGCAATAACCCCGGTCACGAGTAGGTTCCCCGGCCTAGATCCAGAGAGTGGTCCTTCTTTATTGCGGCGCCTTGACCGTGCAAGAGGGGCCAGTCACGAGGATCGAGCATCAATGTTCGAGGCTTTTAGTTCATTTGTTCAGGGCCTCAGGGCGCCTCGCAGAGACCTCTGGCGGCCCCCTGGGGCCTCCGGGGGCCTGGGCTGCCTGGAGCAAGTCGTAGAGATGAAACGCGAAAATGCAAAACCCATGGGTGTCCGAATTTCATTGGCGGGCCAGCGGAGCTGGTCGAGGATAGGCTGGCATGGTGTGAAGATGCAAGGTGCAACTGGCAACGCGCCTAATCTTCACTGGGCACAGTCTGTAGAGCTAGGTGCGACCGAGGACGAAGAGGGCGGGCATCGATCGCCCGACTCCGCGCTGCGCGCTGAAACGGCCGAAAGACAAACCGAACGATCAAGAACGGCCGTTCTTGTATTGCGTGCTGTGGTAACCGTTCTTGTTATCCCCCCCTCGTTACTGCTGCTCCAACTCGAGCAGTGGGGCCAAGCTCCAGTCGAGTGCTCTGACTGCGGAGGCGGGCCAGGGGTGGGGGAGAGGTGTGGTGAGCAGTAAGCAAACGGACGACGCACAAGGGGCAGACATATCTTTAGAAGTCCCTGGGGTTCTCTCTGGAACTCTCGGAGGGCGGAGGGCCCTGGGACTTCTAGGGTCCCCCTCCACAGTCCCAAAGAGGGGTCAACAACGCCCCAGAGCCTGGATCTTCGGATGATCATTCTGATGATGATGATGACGACGATGGCGATGACGATGCTGATGCTGACGATGATGATAGCGGTGTTGGTGATGATGCTGATGATGCTGGTGGCGATGATGACGATGCTGCTGGAGATGATGGCGCTGCTGTCGGTAATGACGGTGGTGATGACGATGATTCATGTCATACATTCACATCAGTGGCTCCGACGTCTCAACGAGCACAGCTTGACAGCAAAGAGTTCGGCTCGAAACTCATTCATTAAACTCGAAGCAATGTCCCTGCTCGCGGCGGTCATGCGGCCTCCACCCTCTGTGGCGGCCTCGAATGCCGACGGGCTTGCAACAAAAAAACCCAGCCTGAGACCCACGGTTTGACGGGTGAAGAAGCCGAGAGGGGTAATTTAAAGGGGGGGCGGTCACTTCAGATATCGATGCCACTGTCTAGCCTGCTCCAGAACTCGCCTGCTCGAAACCATCGTGCCAACAAAAACTCGGCTACCTGGGAAGACACTTCTAGCAGCCAGGGGCATAGTGATCATCCCCAAATCAGACACGACGGGGGGAGGAGGAGGAGGAGGAGGAGGAGGAGGAGGAGGAGGAGGAGGAGGAGGAGGAGGGTTCTCCTCAACAGAAACCGTCGGTCTTACCGAAGAAGATCGCGCGCGGCGCGAGGACGAAATATCAAACATATTTGAAGTATTCTCCACTCTGCTGGTGTTGTTCTGGTTGCCGCTGCCGTCGGTATCGGTGTTTACTGCACGAGCTGCTCCACCCACTCCTGTAGCTCCCGCTCCATGTGAATTGCTGGCGCACGTCCGTACTTCCGCTTCGCTCCAGTCGTCTTCAGCGCTTCGATCAGGTGGACGCGAAACTGTGGGCCCCTCACTGCCAGCGTGAGGCGCTTCTTCTATTTCTTGTACATACGGTCGACCTTGCAAAAGATAGCCAACTCTGACTTTTGCTCGCAGGTGTAGCTGTCGTAGTCCGTGCACATGTTTTGTACTACCGTCTTCAAAGCCTCTTCCAAAGCTAGAGCTATGACTGCTGCCAACAAACCTCCCATCGCGTAGATCAGTGGCGGGCCCAGGTCGTGGTTCTTGCCTTTTTGCTTTGCGATCTTTCCGTGCGCCGCCGTCTGCTCGTGAATGCGAAGGATAATCGGGCTGTCGTTCCTGAGTATCAGCGCGTCGAAGATCACGCTGCTCATGTCCCTGCTCTGTTGCGCGCGCCGAAGAAGCTGCTTTGCGATCAGGCACCTCAACATCTTGGTGTGACGAGGGGGTTGGGTTTTTGCTGCCTCCATGGTCTTCTTTTTGCCGTCGGCGTCTTCCTTCTCCGTGCATTGGCGCTGGTTCCTTTGAAATCCCTCCATCGTTATGTCTTGACTGCTTGTCTGTAGGAGCGCCGGCATAGTCCAAGATCGGAGGTGGTGTCGGTAAATGCGACTACTGATGGTGCTCGTACAAGGAGGCCAGGTCCGAAAAGGATGCGTGGCACAGAGAGCATGTTGGGTCTGGGACTGTTTGTAAAGGCCATTCCATCGTGTTCCTTCCCATTTTGCATCGGCCCTGGGCGTACGCGAAAACTAAATGATTTTGTGCACATAGTCTGCTTTTCAACACCGTGTAACAATTCGGGCATTGGTTCGTGATCGCGCTGCTTGGGATCGTGAAACGAAATTTGTGTCGGGCTGCTTGATGAGTTGTAAGGTGCCGGCAGCTGGGGAAAACTTGATCGCAACTTGTGCCGGTTTCGTGATCTATAAGTTCGCATTTGTATTCCTTGGGGTTCACGTCAATCATGCCACTTGGCTGGTCAATGAAGCGGGTCCATATTGCGCTCCCTGGGGTATGGGCTGCTGCTCTTAGGGTAGCTGGATCTACTCGTGAGAATTCTCGTTCAGCCTCAGAGTTCGGCGTGAGGAGGTCCTTCCAGGACTCATTCGAGAGGGCCCAGGTCTCCCAGAAGGTCTCGGTGCCACTGATGTCCCTGAAGAGGTTCAAGTCCCGAGCGAACTCATGGGCCCATGGGTTAGCTTTAGCTTCTAGTCGGCCTTGTTTGTCCAACGTCGGGGGCTCACTCGGGATATGTCCAAAAATAGCGACCATAATTTGTTGGTGTGCGACTAACGACACATCGACTGCAAGCATTTTATTCATCTGACCGCAGTTTCTGTCAACTCAAGCGCTTCGAGCCCCGAAACTCCTGCCTCCACCACCTCCCCCAAGAAAATGTATCGCTTGAACTCCCAGAGCCTTCTCTCCATCCAAAACTTGCCAAGCTGACGCCATCCCACTGTCATAGAACGGATACGGATCGAGACCTCTAATTGATTACTGGCCGTCACCGTATATCTGGCTCCCAAGTGGCGTGCATCCGAAACTACCTGACCCTGAGAAGAGGGGCAGATTTCCTAAAGCGTCCGACTCTCGATGTGCGATCCGAGAGAGGGGACGGTGTCTTTTTCCCAACCATCCTGTGGTGTTGGGTCCTCGTTTTGAAGAGACGGTCCCCGCGTTCTCCTCCTCTCCTCCTCCTCCCCCTCCTTCCTACCGTCCGCATGCGTCCCGCACACCCAATACAGCGTTTCGTGGCCCTCCTCCCCCTCCTCCCTGCGTTTCACCCACCCAGTACAGCGTTTCGTGGCCCCATAAGGAGCCCCACCGAAGGTCCCAGTGCTACCGCCCGCATGCGTCCCGCACACCCACTACAGCGTTTCGTGGACCCATATGGAGCCACACCGAATGTCCCAATGCTACCGTCCGCATGCGTCCCGCGCGCCCGGTACAGCGCTTCGTGGCCGCATAGGGAGCCCCACCGAAGGTCCAAGAGCTACCGTCCGCATGCGTCCCGCACACCCAGTA